TTCTTCTATGAACATTTGGTGTAACTACATTAGTTTTGACTCAATGAAATTTTACGGTCCATTCTACAAAAAATATCTTTCATTGATGGAAATTCCGTTTGCCGTCTCATTAGACAAAGAGAAGATGCAATATGGCGATTGTTTTTAGTGTTTACTCTATAGTTTTTCGATGTGCATATTTTCACTGCCACTGTGAGATTATTATTGTAGAATCATACGAAAACCGGTTCCGAATGAACAATACACATGCATATCAACAAACAAAAATGGTGCAACACAATCATCATGTCGATGTGAATCAACGATTGCGTTTCATTAATCTCTAAATCAATAACACCTAGCGATTGCTTTCACTTATTCAAAATGAACACACTGAATGGTATTATCGAAGTCAGTTTCGAGCGATTTTAGTCTGTTTGATCAACGAAACAACTTCTCAAATATGTTACATCCAGAATGATAAAATTTGGTTGCGACAGTCGGAAGTTTAACGCTGGATCTTGAGAATAAATAAACAAATTTCGCTAATCGTAAGCTCTAGCAGAGATTTTTTTTTGCATTGATGAAATTCGATAATTTCATCGTTGCACAAACAGATGACACCAGATCAAGTGAAAGACATCTTGCTTTAGAAGAATAACGTCAAGTGTGATCAGGCCTAACCAGTTTTATGTGGGCAATTCCAATTAAGTGTCATAAGGGAGCATCCTCCAATCACATGCAATCTGAGTGAATTCAGGAAATAAAGTGAAATTTTTAATGCCGAAATTTTTAACGCGTGAGCAACGCTCAGATCATTGATCAAATGCGATATCGGTTACTTGAATTGTACATTTATACGACTGTTTCACTGATACTGAATTTGTATGCAGTGGAATGTTCTGTCAGGGTTTGAGTGCTGAAGCAACAAACTGGATGTAAGCAACTAATCGAGGCCACTTAATGTAGTTGTATTCGAATCAAACACACAAATCAACGATCCGACTCATCGAATCCAGATCTTTTGGAGATGTTACTATGATGACTACGGTTTTCACTACTTTGTGATTCTTTACGAAGATTTGTGAAGCAGAAGGTACAGACTGGATGCAGTAAATGCATATTCTATAAGCATAATGTGCAATCTCTAACGTAATCTTACTTCGAGACATTTGTCTCGTTCAGCATAGAAGTCCAGTGCTTCCATTTTTCTGCCTGGTGACAGTGGCTGAGGAATAGGACGTGGATCACGAGGAACATATGGATCAACCTGAAACGAAACACTTTTCATGTCACCTTGTCACATCAACTTAAACCCATCCGAAAATACCAGTGGTCATATATTTTGGAAACATCATCTTAAGTAGCATAGTAATTTGAACATGGCTAAAGTGATGATTCAACTGGACAGTTGAAAGCATCTAAGAAAATTTGATGTCGTAGATGAGAAAGCTGACAGTGAGAA